CAAGACGCTCCTGAGTTCATGATGCAGCTCTTTGCTCCACAGAAACAATCTCTCCCGTCGTCATGATTCATCCCAAGATTATGACCCAGCTCATGGGCCACAATGGAAGCAAATGTCTCCACAGTGATTTGCCCAAACTGTCCAAATACAGGAAGGCATTAATTAGGAGTCTGAACTAACAGGAAACGTTTTGTTTCTTGAGGTTGTTTTTGTTTGTTTGTTTTGTTTTTGTTTTTTACAAAAGAAAATGTATTCACTCCCACGTTGACAGCTAATGATAAAGTGAGAGAGCAAACATCCAATGAAACCCTTCATGCATTTCTAGGAACAAATCAGTATGACTCATGCTGATGAGGAAGCCACATCCTTAAGCAACAGAACAACTACGTTAGCTTCAGTAGATAATTCACAGTACTTCATGGGAAAATTAACTGATGGTTCTAATTTAACACTCTCAGATAGAGCCTCTCAGTTTCCTCAGCCATAAAAAGTACCAAGTTCATAAACACTCGGTAAATATTAGAAAACTGGATCTGGTCAAGGGAAAGAACACAATTGCCACTTCTACTGTGACTCTCATAATACCCAAAATACTGTTTTGAGGATCGGGGGACGAAGAGTCAATGAATGCTTGATACTATCCCAACACAAGCCTCCCAAGTCGGAAAACAAGAGCAACCTACCACATTAATCCCGCCTGCGTGGCTCCTCGAACACACCGTGCCCACAAAGGCCATTCCTGCAGTCCCTCCGAAACCTTTCTTTCTAAATGAAAAGACAAAAGTCACAACATGTACTTGAGGGGAAAGGGAACACAGTGCTCCTAGTTCTATGAGTAATCTTAACTAGAGAGGGAGAATGGAAGAACCTACAAAGACTGGGAGAAAAATGACAGAGGTCAATGACATATCAAATCAGAATATGATTTTGTCACATCTCTTTTTAATTAACAGAGAATGAGATTCAGGTGACAAAAGCATTGTTTTTCACTTCAGACAAATGAAGATATGTTTTGGGTAACCAAAGGTTCTTCTGTAGTTTTTTTTGTTTAATTATTTTCTTTTGTTTTTACCTTCTGGATGAAAACATGTCCTAAAATACATTACATTTTTTTTTTACTTACTTATTTTCATTAAGAGAGAGAGAGTCACAGACATAGTGAAAGAGAGAGACAGAGACAGGTACTCTCAACAAGGCCCCATGCCATGATCCTGCCCCAGCCTTCCCAGCTGCCAGGATCACAGACATGTGCACAAGTGCCCAGTGTGTGCAGTTCAACTGGAACCCAAACCCTGACCTTCCATATGGCTTCCAGCATCGCAGAGTGTGGCATCACTGCTGTGCTACTGCACTTGGGCCTAATTTATTTACTCGACAAATCACAGTGAAGAGAAGAAAATAGTGAGCAGGAGAAGAGTCACAATGGTCTCCATGTTGTCCTCAATCACGCCCAACACACTGTATCTCAGGACCTATTTCCCCTGCTAGGAACTCTTCTGTGCTAAATTCCCTAATGCATTTCCTTACTTCCTGCAGGTCTTCACTCAGAAGTCCTCAGTGAGGTCTTCCCTTACAGTATCACCTCAAATTTCAACCTCACTCCTCTGATACTTTCATTATCTATTCTCCCTGTTTCTCCTCCTGACCATGGATCATGACTTAACACACTACATAGACTTACTTATTTCACTTATGGCCAATCTTCTCCACCAGAATATGGACTTCCCGAGAACAGTAATTTGTGTATTATGTTCACTGCTATATCCCAATGTTTGGGGTATAGGCCCAACAAATATTTTTAAATAAATGAATAAATCTTTCTCTGGGGGATCCAACCAAGCAGGAGAAGACCAGAGACAAAAGGGGACTATCAAGGAAACATTCTAGACAGACTACCCTATAGTGAATCCCATAGTCCCCCAAGATCTACTCACATACTTAAAGCTTCCAAAAGGCTTTTTTGGCACCCCATCTTTAATACAAACAAACCATCAAGGATCATCAAACATCTGGAGAATGTCTCTGACAGGACAGATAGGGACCAAACAAACAAGATAGGCAGAAAACAGTACAATAGGTGGGGCAGGGCCAGCCATAGCAGGCGTGCGTGCTGCTGTCTGCCTTTGGTCTCTTACACACCAGACGATAATCTCACTGGCATAAAGACCCTTGTGTGTGCAATTTTACTAAAAGCTAATAAAAAGATCAGAATCCAGTCTTTGTGATTATGGGGCCATAATAGATGTGTATTTAAGCATTTTCAGTACTTTACACTATTATCAATCCACATTAAAAAGAAAAAAAAAATGAAAGAGAAAAAAACATTGAAATGACCAGGAAAAGAATCCCAATAGTCGAATTAAAGGAATCCCAGAAGAAATGGAGGATAAAAATAAAACAGGAAATAAAATCATCTACCGAATAATTCACAAGAAAAACTTCCAAAACTGAAAGCTAGCGGTTTCCAGACTGCAAGTCCCCGTTGGTAACATAGCGTGTCTCATCAGGCGACTGGGAAGCCCAGGAACCACGAGGAAACCCTGCAAGCTTCACGGGAGGAGGACACAATACAGGCCACATGCACAGGACCAGGAATCAGAATGTTTTAGGCCTCTCAGTAGTAATGCTGAAGGTCAAAGGTAGCAGAGAAACACCTTCAAAGTTGTGGGGGAAAATATTTAACCCCCAGAATTTCAGACAAAGACAAGTAGGAAGAAAAGTTACAAAACAAACCAGAAAGCACACTTCTGAAAATGTTACGTCGGCCCCAGAACAAGCAGAGCGAAGCTGAGATCATATTAAAATTCAGTTCCAAGACCGTAAAAACACAGGTTCAGACACGCAAGAGGTCAAGAGATTTTCTTTCCATATATCCTTTCACTAAAAGCAACCAGAAAACTGTCTATACCAAAATGAGGACGTCAAGTCAAGAAAGGAGGAGGACACGGGATAAAGGGGACAAGAGAGCCCAACACAAAGAGAGGGTCGTCATCATGTCACACGGTCTTCTGTTATCCAACTTCCCCTCCCTCAATAAACGCCCCAGACCTTTGGGCAATATAACCTCACAAGAAAATCCGCGATCTTCATTACCCTGACCATCTCACTAACAGTGTCTAAAATCACTTACAGAACGAGCTGTGCACTGTCGTGTCTCCGACGTGTAGTCAGGGACTTTTCCCGCCACTGTACAAAGTTCCCCAACACGTCACCAGCACCTCCGCTGATGCTGATTGGATTTCCACTTGTCCAAATCTCTAGTCCAACTAGGACAATTCGAATATTTAACATAATATACATCTGAGAAGAAAGAACAATAAATCGTATAAAATATATAAAAGAATATGAGAAAATCTTTTAACCACACAAAGTAGCACAATTTGAATTAAAAAACAGGACTGCTGGGTCCAGCAGGTGGTGTGGTGGTTAAGGGCGCTGGACTCCCATATGCCCAACTGTGGTTGGAGTCCCAAACCTAGCGGCTCTCTCCCCTCCTCTCCCCTCCCCTCCCCTCCTCTCCTCTCCTCTCCTCTCTCTCTCTCTCACTGTGTCCCTCCCTAGTCAAATTAAAATAAGATTAAGTAAATAAAGTTAAATAAAATAATTTCAAAAAAATAGTACTCCCCATCTCAAAAAAAAAAATTCTCTTCAATACAATGAGACTATAACCTCTCAGGAATCACAGTTTCCCTATCCATAAAATGATAGTAAAGAGATTCACAACCCTTTCTATCTTCCATGCTAAAATCTTGATAAACTCTGGAAATTAAAAGTGTTGGGTAAATTTGGTTCCAAAACGTGTCTCAAAGTAATGCAGGCCTAGTCACTGTGTGCATCCCACAGGGTAGAAATACATATTTCACGGCAGAATATCAGCAAGCTTGGCCACCAGGTGCTACCTCGAGATCCTGCTGGAGGTGTTTCATGACATGAGGGAACTTCCAAAAGTAAACAGGGAAACGGAATTCAAGTACAACCTCAGGGCTGGCTCTGCAGCCTGCTGGCACAGATCTGGCAGCCAGATCTGGCATGGCTGACCACAGAGCTTGAGTTCTGGACACAGCAGTTGAGAAACATGCCAGGCACATGTGCACACCTGCCCAAAAATTCCTGGAGGAGGATGAAATGGAGGGAAAG